TTTCTCTAAGCTCTGGAAATAATTTCAGAGCAGATTAGTCGATTGTTAAATATACTGTGCGCACATTAATTTAAAATAAAGAAATAAAGAAAGAAGTTTGACGGGAGCTCAAACACGTCTCACTCCATCGCCAGCTCAACAGCGCCCCAAAAGAAGCACTTTCTCGGCATCAAAATGTGTCTTTAAAATTCATGGACATCATATGTGAAATCCGTGGTACCTAACAAGCGGAATTTTAGAATTTTTTGCCCCATTGACTTGCATTCATTTAGTCTTTCTTCGAGAGACCCATGGTCTGGAAGTAGATGGGCGTGGCTTAGGCTCTCTATCAAAAAATAAGACTCTGAAGCTTCTATTTTCTCCAGCTGAATTCTCCTACAGAAACTGCTATACCGGAGCCCCCCCCCCAAAAGAACGCATTCATTCCTACCAGAGACTGCTGCAAATGTAGCTTATGAAAGTATGAGTGAAGGACCTTATTAAACAATAGCGAAAACTAATTAATATTAAATAATTGTAGAATTTTTTAAATGTACTCTTAATACTTGCCAATTAAACATGCATCTAAAATCAGAATTTCAGCCTGGAAAATCAGATACTGACCAGCTAGAAAATCCAACTTGTAGTGTCATGAATGTCCTGTTTTTGACCTAAAGGTCATGATCTGCCAAGTGGTGCTCGCTGCAGAACCACAAAGGCGGAGCTGCACCAGAAGGTGGAGCTGCACCAGAGTCAGCCCCACCCATTCCAGAATCAGCCCCGCCCATTCTATCAGAGTCAGTCCAATTCCTTCCAGTTGTCAGACTTTATAGCATTCTGGAACCAAAGAGGGTGTTATAGCTAAAAAAATGCAAGATTGGGGACGGAGTTGAGAAGTGAATTGAACAGTTTTTGTAAAGGTTCCATATAATTAAAAATCTAACTTTTGGAACTTTTAATCATGTTATATTGTCATTTCCTCATACGAAACACGCCAAAGCCATTTTTGGCCTCATTCATGCAGTTTCTTCCCATCTCAGCTTCAATTTGGTCTCCTCCCCCGAAGCGGGTCTGGTCTTGGTTCTCAAATCTGGATATTCTGTGAATTTTCTGACAAATTATTTCTGAAATGACTTATACTGAGACACCGCCAGAAAAATCATACATCCCGTCTACAAAGACACACTGGATGGCACAATAACATGCAACGCCACACAAGTATTATAAGATGTGGTGGTGTAGTGGTTATGGTGTCAGGTTGACATGCAGTTTTGCGCAGGTTCGCCTCCCAGTAGTGGAAATATTCTATAACCCCTTTTCCTCATTTCTAGCTACACTTGCCAGTACTATGTTTACAACAATTTATTGGTATGCCGTTTAACATATAATGACTAATGTGTTTTTTTATTTATTCATTCGTTTATTTAGCCAGTGTGAGTCCATTTGTGAGCAGAGTTTCAACTAAAATGCTGTTTAGGAACGATCAAATTCAAAGAACTTGTAGAGACATAAATATTTAGCTGAAAATGAACATTACAACTAAAATATGAACAAATTAAATGTTTCAGCTGGCAAAATAGATTGATGCCGACCCCACCGAGAACCGAACCAGCATCAGCTGAGGGGAAAGCAAAACTTAAGTCAAACAATCTTGCCACTGGACTACCAGAACTCACATAATAATGTCAAATGTTGTTGTACAGGAGTTCTGTTGGAGCGGCTGTGGGCAGATATTCGCTAAAAGAAATCTTTTCATTTCGGGATATATTCAGACTTTGTCATGTAGCAAGTTATATTTATCTTGTTTAATTGGAGCACAGAACATAGCATTAACGACTGTAAACTAGTAACAGCCGTAATTCATGAGAGTCAGGTTAGTTTGTGATAAAGTTGAAAAACAAAAACGGAAGTCAGTGGGCTAGGCTGAGTTTGCGTGAATGGGCGGGGCTGACTCTGGTGCAGCTCCACCTTATGGTGCAGCTCCGCCTTTGTAGTTCTGCAGCGAGCACCCTCTCTGATCTGCTGCATCTGCTCGAGCAGAGATACAAAGTCTCTGACAGCCTAATCTACATGAGATGGTGGCCAAGGTCTTTCATGCACTCTGCTCATCTGAACTGCTTCACCTCTGTTACAGCTCAAGATGAAGATGAAGAACTCTTTTGATAAACACATAATAAACAACTTTATTATTACCAATAATAATGTGAGCCCAATGTTCAATCAATCTGTGAAATGACAATGTTATTACCTGATATTATAATCCTGTGGTCAGTAGTATTTTATAAGTAATTATAATCCTGGACATTTGCACTAGACACTGAGGACACGTAATGCTAAAGTCACACGGCACATTTCGTTCTGTCTGATCCAATAAGGACCTTCGTTTCTGGCGTGAGGCATGGTTTTCTGTGGTGTTTGTATAAACCCTCTTTTGCATGTCAAATTCTGATTCGCCAGTAAACCAAAATATGACAATTATAAAAACTATTCCACACCACCTTTTCTTTAGTTCCAGCGTTCTAGAGAAGTCTCGGACAGGCCATCCGGACTTCCTGTTCAGCCAAAAGAACCTCGACAAGCTGGATAAAATCAGTTTCAAGTTACACCTGACTGCAACGGTTCCTTCAGAATAAAAGCTGAACCTCACGACCCCTTCAGGGTAGAGCCCTGCACAGTTCTAAAATCTGAGCCCGTGTCTGGCCCAGCCCGAGGGTGTGGAGCCCCAGCCCGACCCGGTCCGAAAAGGTTTTCAGGATTCTCTGGCCCGACCCGAGCCCAACTTTTTTTTTAACCTTTCAAAATGTTTTAGCGTGATAGAATGCTCAGAATTCTAATTATCTGTCAGAAGCGTTCTGCAGTAAAAAAAAAAAATAGAAAAGAAAGAAAAACAGCAATGCAGCTTTTTTTTCTAACGGTGCGTATTTTCCGAGCGGCAGATGAAATTTACGAACACTATATTAATTGGATGCGTTTGTAAGTTTAATCTGCTCTGAAAATGCGCTCTTGTGCAATTAGAAAAAAAAGCAGCATTCTAATTTTCTAACTGCAGAGCGCATTTTCAGAGCGGCAGATTAAATAAACGCCCCCAATTAATATAGCATTTGTAAATTTAATCTGCCGCTCTGAAAATGTGCTCTCCAGTCAGAAAAAACCCCATCAATTAATGCTGCATTTTTTTAACTGCAGAGCGAATTTATTCACAGAAAAATAGAATGCTGCCGTTTTCATGAGAGTAAACGAATGGTTTCTGACATATCAAAGTGGACATAAAATGGCATATTAGAATAGGGGCACATGTTTCAATCAGCAGTTTGAGACTTCGTTTATATAGGCGCATTTATAAACCACACAGACCTTAACTGAGCTAACGGGTGCCGGTGCGTGAGAAGCAGACAGGTGCTGCTGCGTTCAAGTGTTTCAGTTTTTATTTATTTTTATGAATTTGATTAAAAATAAAGGTGCCCGGCCCGGCCCATGTCCGAGGTAATTACACAGCCGTTGGCCCGAAGCCCGGCCCGAGGGCCTAGGGCTTCAGTGCAGGGCTCTACTTCAGGGTCTCGGAGACGCCAGTGATAACCTGTTGTGACCTGGAAGCATTCCCAGACTAGTTTGGTCGGCACCGCTGCTTTTCTACCGGCTTCGGTTCCAAAGAGGGCCCAAGAGGACCTCGACATTCTGGATCTAATCCGAGGCTTCCCCTGGGGGTACGTAGACCGACAGATGGCGTTTCATGTGTGTTATAAATCTCCTACTGAAGTTTAGAGTGAAACATTCACTCCCACTCAGAACTAAATGCTTCTCCGGATCCGCTGGTTCTGATAAAAACATTCCACATACACACCCTCATTCATCTCACGTCTCACTCCACCTTAGTCCATCAGTACACAGAGTGTTAAAGTTAGTCTTGTTTAAATAGTGTAGAAATACATTTCTTAACTATTTTAAACCTGACTCTCTCTCTCTTTCCTCGGCATTAATACGAAGTGTCCCTTAATCCCTGCAATAAAAAAGTTCTGATCTCCTGGTTAAAACATTCAAAGATCCATCAGATTGATATTTCATGAATCTCACATTTTATGGTTCATAAGTAAGATGTAAACTACCCATCCTTTACAAACTCCAATATAGCCGTTTTGCACACACAAGTAGTAAAAGTAAAATCCACAGTTTATATTGCAGGAGTTCAGTCTCACACACAACACTGTCCAATCACTGTATTCATGGACGTAATTTTTTTGGGGGGGACAGGGGGGACATGTCCCCCCCACTTTTTCCAAAGTCAAGTTTTGAGCCCTGCACTTTTTACCATCCAAAAACAATATTACGCTATATTAAATTCACACTGGTAGAGCTTTAGGACCAAGCGGAAAACAACCGTTTGTGTTGAAGCCGGTTTCCCATTAGAACATACTGTAAAGATAACCATCCCCCCCACCCCACCCCCCACCCTGGGCCCCCCCCCCCACTTCTAAAGTGAAAATTACGTCCTTGACTGTATTTAAACATATTGCTACAATATAGCTTTTGATGCTAACAGTAGTTAGCCTGGGTCGCCAGCAAATCCTGGTTTTCTAACTTTCAGCTGGATCATGGTTAAGTTGGATTTGCCAAACCCTGATCATAATGATTAACTAATAACATATGTTGTATTTGGCAAGGTAGAATTAATTTCAGATTATATTAGTACCTTGGCATCTTCAGAAAGTGCTACCGTGGCTATAGCTAAATAATCCATGCAAACAGTGTGTATATCATGTATTCTGTCATGTGTGACTGACTTAGTGCGCTATGTTTCGTGATGATTTGTAGAACAAAAGCACAAAACAAAGATGTTTTTCCAATTTCTATATTCAACACATTTTTTTTTCTTTATTACCATGAGAAACTACACCAGAGACCCAGGAATTCGTCCTAGTTTAGTGCTTTCATTCAGTGGTTTTATCATTATTCTTCCACACATCTTGTTTAACTTTGTTCTATACTATTACCACATGGGAACATTGTGTCATCTGAGGTCTTACCTACTAATGTACTCAGGCTGTACATGCTATACACCAGCAGGAGTGTGTCCAGGGTCTTCATGGTGGCTACTGAACCAAACTCTTCTGATCTTCTAAGCGTTTTATCCACCTTCTTGATGTGACTCTTTTCCTTTTTACACAGCAAGACGCTGAGCTTTGTTTCTGCCCAGTCAAAACCGTTGTTGTCTGTCACTCAGAGCAGCCTGGCCACCTGCTAGGTACTCAGATTACACCAGAGTTTGGAGTGGGGTGTGTGTGGAGGGCATGGATAAACCAGGCATGTGTCTCATAACCACAATACAGGCTTCAGGATGTGACATCAACCAAACAGAAACCAACATGTAGAAAGTTTATCAACAACTGTTACAATAAATAAAGTTAAAATATAAAAAATAATAAAAACCTAACCAGCAATTCCATAGACACACAACAAAAACAATCTCAAAACCTTTGGAAACTTTTTAAAAATCTTGTCTGTCCACACATCCTTAGCTGCATTTTGAATAAATGAAAAAAAAAAAAAATCAAACTCCTTTGGTTGGATGGCTAACCTGTTGAAGTTTAATGTCTTGCATAAATCCCAATAGCACTTCACCATAAATAGTTCAAAGAGTTATCAATAAGTCTTGATGATTATTGGTACTTCATAAAGAGGCAATAAAATGACAGGTTTGTGTTTATTAGTGGAAGTCTCAGTCATTCTGCTTTTTCAGGTTAAGTTAATTTTCTTTTAGACAATACACAAGTTACAGTACATGGCCTTTATTTAAACAAGGTACGAAAGGCTGACAAATGAATTAACAACTAAAGGAAAATGGAAGTTGTCCCAAAACAGGACCCTGTGGTACGTCACATGACACAGCATGTTCTATTTGAACTCTTTATGTGTGTGGTGTTAGTTTTCACCTATAACATGTTGGCTTTACTCTGACTTGGGTTGATTTGTCCTATGCTGATAAATGACCTGTTAATTTAAATAATGAATTTGCTGTTTAAACTAGATTATGATGAAATGTTTATACCACTAAAAATGGATCATGTAGAGTAGAAGATTTAGAAGCTCTGATGATCATAAATCTGCTGACCTTCATTGACATAACAGTAAAAGGTCTGTTATTTGATTTACTGCTCAATGATTCTGGTGTATATAGCATCAATATTACTTTAAAACTCACATCCCATTGACCTTAAGTGCTAACTTGTTTCCTTACTTTCTCAAGTGATGAACCTAAAACACCCACTTGGATCATCTATGGATCATACCCAGACCATTGTAGCTAGTTTGCAGTAAGCACAGTAGCCATCTGGTGGTTTAATCTTGGTTAACGATAAATGTAATTCAGAACCTAATTTGACTTTTTCTAGAAAAAAACAATGTTGTAAGCAGCCATATAGAGCCCATCCAGTAGCAATCACCATACCATTTACCTGCCAGAGACTGATTAGCTGAACCATCTCTCTTCCCTTTTACACATCCTTCAACTCATTTTTTTTATCTCACTCTGCTCTTACATTTATCTTCCACTGATCTTCACAACCCTAATTTATGATCCACTGACAGTGCCATCTGGCCTGTCGCCAGTTTAATTTCCAAAGAAGCTAACTATTAGCAGCTAGCAGCCGGTGTTGAGTCACGCACATCATATCTGTGGTCAAGAGGGCATGTTCAGTTTAATTCAATAACTCAGAGGTAAATTGGATTAAATGTTTACAGATGACGGCTGAGTTTAATTTCATTGGTAAGTGATGATGTGAGCTAAATTAGAGACATCAGGTTACATCAGAGCTGCACCCGTTGGAGTCAGGTGAGTAGATGTTCAGGATCACTGTTGTACCTTTGGGGTCAGAGTTATAGCTACAGCGTGGTTTCAAGGTAAAATCTGGTGATGTTTTAGTGAAAATGTATAGTTGGAGTTCTCCTATTTGGCACCCATTAGAGGCGATGATTTTTCAGTTCTTTATCTACATTATGAACCCTACTTTGAAGTGACATCACTAAAAGTGGGTGGAGTCTCTAGAAACAGAAAGCAGTCCTGTGACCAGGGAAAAACTCTTGTGGGTTTTGATAGTTGGTAAGAATACCATACCAATGGGTTATATATTATCTTTTTTAAATCTTTATGGCTTAGTGTTAGCATTTGCTGATTGTTTCAAATTAACAACGTCAGAATTACACTATTGGAAGTGTTTGACCCCACCTGATTGGAAGGGATGTACCAGTTCTCTGGTTTTGCACTTAGGTAGAGGGTACAGCAGCAACAGCATAATGTTCAATCAAAACAAACTGAACAAACAGTGTAAACAAAAAATACATTTATACTTCACAATCGGTATTAGACATACATTAGAGATATTTGTTTTAATGAAGTTATGCTTTTCCTTATACATTTGGTTTCAGTTATAAAATCTTGTGTTGCCATTGTAACATAAAGCCAAAATGTCCTGTACACGAGCATCAATTATAACTAAATACTTATGACTTGACCCAGACTTGAACGCCAATCGACTTGCATGTGTTGATCTGATGATGACTTGAGCATATTTGATATTTTAGCACAAAAGTGGCACGGCATGGACAAAAATCATAAATCATTCTTCGTCCTGGGTTTGATTTTGTTCTGCTAAATGGAGCAGCACTTTGCTTATAATCAGTTTCAGTCGCACTTTCTGCATGTTGGAGCAAATAAATTAAGCTTTAAGAAGCTTCATTTCTGGAATTTATTTATTATCATTATCATTAAATTGAAGTTGGACAGATGACTTGAATACGACTTGAAAATTCAAAGTTAAGGACTTGGACTTGACTTGGACTTCCAGATCATTGACTTTGGACTCAACTTTGACTTGGTTCTCTGTAACTTGGACTTGATTCGAGACTTGACTGAAAAGACTTGACTTACCTGTGACTTGCAAAGCAGTGACTTGGTCACACCTTTGGTACTAAGAAATACTAGAAGAAGAAGAAACACTTTTTTATACAGCGCTTCTCAAGACCAACATCAGAGGTGTTCCACAAGAACAAAAAATATTTTTCACTGGTTAAAAAAATATATACAAAATAATTTTAAAAAATATTGTAAGAAAATATTGGGGAAAATGAAAAAAAAAATCTTTAAAAAATGAAATTGTCTTCCACGAGTCTTCCAGCAATGAAATTGATTACTATATCCATCCATCCATCCATTTTCATCCGCTTATCCGGAGTAGGGTCGCGGGGGCAGTAGCCTAAGGCCCAGGCTTCCCTCTCCCCAGCCACTTGGGCCAGCTCCTCTGGGGGAATCCCAAGGCGTTCCCTGGCCAGGTGAGAGACATAGTCCCTCCACCGTGTCCTGGGTCTACCTTTAGGTCTCCTCCTGGTTAGACGTGCCAGGAAAACCTCATTGATTACTATATACAATGATTATTTTAACATACAGGAGCAAGAACATTGTGTTTCTATTCAGGATATTGTCGGATTTTTTTACACGGCGTGGGTATTGGGTAGTGGGATACTGAAACCAGCCCTTAGAGGTTGCTGGTTTTGTTTCAGCCATAACTCTAGCATTAGATACCGTACTTTTGGGTATGTATGGGGAGCATGAGTGGGTGTATGACGTACGTTATTTTGTGTCTTTAGGTTTAACGTGTTTATGTGTGAGCATGAGGGTGGGAGTGTGTGTTTGTGTGTGAGTTGTATCAGTCAGCTGGGGTCTCTCCTGAGACATCATATGGTGCTACAACACCCACGCCTACCCGCTTCCTGCCACATTTCCTGCTGGTAGGTGGAGCCTCAGTCTGCCTGTGTATTTACAGCTCCCGTGTCTAGGGTTGAAAGTTTTTGGCATCTGCCGGCTTGCTCCTGGTGGCTGCCTGGTGAGGTCTAGAACCCTGGGTTTTGTCGGGTCTCTGCCGGAGTTAGGTGGTTCCCAGAACCGCTGAGTTCCAAGCTCGACCTGCCCTGCAGTGGGCAGCTGCGAGTGGGTCCGGCGCTTTGCTGTTATCATCTCCTAGGCCTCTGGCATGCATAGCTGTTGGTTGTGGTTGTTTCATTTCAGATCTTAAATACAACAAATGAGTCTACTTGTTGAATTTGATAATGATTTATTATCAGTATACTCACTTATTAATAATACTATATTAATAAATTACAGTTTAACATATTTAATTCATAATAAATGAAATAGGCTTGCTTTAAGTGTTTGAGGAAGGAGTGATGTCTGAGGATCTTGGCAAACGCCCATTTTACACTTGTTAGATTCTGATTGGTCTAAATCTATAAACAACAATTAAGAAAAGAAGGAGAACTTCCTCTAAAAGTTAGTTCCAGCAAGCCGTATCAGTTCAGCCTTTGGCTTCCAGAAGTCAAACTACTCCCAATGCCGAGGACACTTTGTGGCCAGCAGTGTCACTGAGGAGCCTCATAACATAGTACTCACACCTGACATTGAATGGTTTTAGTTATTTGTTTAACCTCATTAAACAGTCAGCCAGACTTATTTTACAACCCAGACATCACGATCTTCTAAAACACTTAAGTAGGTTTTTAACATAACACCTATTTCATCAGTGTCTCAGCTAATATCACCTGAACTCATCATTTATAATCATTTGTTCCGCATCATCATCATAGTAGTAGAAATATGGTAACAAATTCATTTTTATAAACTAAATATTTGCCTCTGTGTCAAATTAGTACAAAGTGTTGTTTCCCTGGGGTATATGTTACATATTACCTAGTTTCATCATCAACCAAATAGTAAAGGTTCAATAATATTTATGATCCATATTTTTATGGAGTAATACATTTTATTGAATGCCTTAATATTCTATTGACAATTTATTAAAAGTAACCATCTACAAAACGTTACACTGTCATATATCCTCATACGGTTGGCGCGGTGACATATTTTGGTTCTGTTGTAATTTTGATTCTTTGTTGTTTATTTTTATTGTCCACCTCTTCCTTTCTTTTATACCCCCTTTCTCTGTGATTTAAAGCAACCAAAAATATTTCTAATGAAGTTTTGGTATCGGGCGAGGCATTATAGCTGACGCTCCACCCGTGAGAGTAAAACGGTAGGGCTTGTCTTCGGCACTCAGACATCAATTCGGATTGCTTTACAGCCAGACAGGACATGAGAAATAAAGACGTACTTTTTCGGTTCATTAGGAACAATGTCAGACTGAACCCAGAGAATAACTTTCCAGAGACCAGAGTTGCAATCATACAAATATATTATTGTTTTA